GTGGATGGTTTGTTGAAAGGAAGACATGATAAAATGGCCGCTTAGGCACTGTCAGCGGTACAAATGCAAATACACACAGATACAAAACACACACAGACATACTCCCTTACACACACACACACACATACTCCCACACACACACACACACACACACGCTGACAAATGGGACAGTGACGAGCTACAATGTTGTCATGTAAATGTCTTCATTTTTTTACAGCTCCATGGGTTTATTTTCCACACTTTCTCCCATTCTATCTTTCTTTCTTTCCCTCTCTTCTCTTTTCTTATTTTTTGTATTATTTTGTTGCCTCCCACATATCGATGCCTATCAATCATATGCAAATAAGCGATTTAAGCCTGGCTTCCTCTAATTGCCAACGATTAGAGAGGAGTGGGGTTTGGGGTGTAGAAAAAGGAAAACGATTTGCGCTGAATCAACATCAGTCAACTGACTTGTTAATTGTCCATCAATTTATTTTACAATCTCTAATTATGCCGAAGCTTGTATTTGCCTTTGCCTGTGCCTGTGCCTGGGCTTAGGCTTGGCTCTTAATTAAAATGTTCTTTGATAAATATTTTATAATTACATTTTTGAGACGTGTTTTTAGGGTTTTTTTCTTAAGGGTTTTTAAGGAATGTGCAAGTTAGGCAACCTTAAAAATGAATAAAATTTTATATAAAATAGTTAAGATAGATTTTGACTTGAATTTACAAACTTTTGTTGGGAAAATTGATTTTTAACTTGGTATTTATACTGGCAAAAATCATGAATAAAAAATAAATGTGAAGAAAAATAAAGATTTTTGCTTTTTAGATTTTTGAATGTCTAATAAATAAAAAAAAAAAAAATATAAAATCTAAAAATATTAAATCTAAAAATATAAAATCTAAAAATATAAAATATAAAATCTAAAAATATTAAATCTAAAAATATAAAATCTAAAAATATAAAATACAAAATCTAAAAATATAAAATCCCAAAACTCTTTAATCCCATCCTTAGCCATCTTTACATTTTTCATTTATTTATTTTACAAACTAAAAACAATTTCCAAGCAATTTAAGACACAAAAAACTATTAAAAAAATCATTTTTAAAACCCAAAGCAGTTAGTCTTTCTATATTCTGGAATATAAATTATATCTTTCCCATCTCATTAACCCAACTTGAGCTTCATTAATATTTGCCATTATTGACTTTGATTTGATTTGATTGATTTATCGGCGATAAGACGAGAGCCCTCTGCCTTAAGTTTTGTATTTTGCTCGACTTCGATTTCGATTTGATTGCATTTGCCGATAAGCCGATTGACAATTCTCAATTGACGTGATTGACGCCGCCGCCGCCTGCAGTTTTTCCCTTTTGACTCGAGTCTAATGTCTTATTTACTAATTTTATTTTTTTGCCTTTGCTAAACGGCAAAACCTATTGTTTTGTATTTTCGATTTGCTTTTTTAGCTACCGTTGTTGATATATATATATATGCATGTATAGTAGTTGATATGGGCTCTTGATGGAGTGCCTGAAATGGGTGGGACATTTATTGATGACACTACTTAGATAGCTACTTGTCGCTGCGACGGGACATTGCGTAATTTTCTCACTCGTCGTGTTTGATTGCCGTTGATTAATTGTCCGCCGCCAGTTGCTATCATTGAGCAGGTTTCTCTGTCGGGTTTAAATTTCAAATATCGAACTGAACTAATTGCCTAAAAACAAGAAAAGATGCCACATTCATCTTGCCACAGTTTCCATATTTTCCGCAGGTTTTCCCTGTCTTTGTTTTCCCTGTCTTTGTTTTCCCTGTCTTTGTTTTCCCTTTTCTTTGCAAAGGGGCCCCCCTCTTGTTTTCCTCTCCGCTTTATTGACATTGCCAGCGCAAATATTTGGGATGAACCGGAAAGGTGTCGACCACAAAACACTTGGGGAGAACTTGGGCTGGGAAAAATGGGTTTAGAATGGGCGAGAGTTGTACCTCTTAGTTGGGTTTTTTTTTTGGAGGTTAAATGCTAGTATTTTTAAGGCTTTAATATTAATATTAAAATATTTAATTATAAATTTCTATATTCAAGAAGCTTTCATTACCAAAGTCTAAATATGTTTTACAAATTTCAATTTTCTTTTTTAAGATTTTTTTCTAATCTGAAAACTAGCCTTGATCGTAGACTCTAAACTGTATTCCTTTTATGACAATTTTATTGCTCTTAAAATATGTTTTTTAACTAATTTTTTAACTAATTTTTTGTCTAATAACTTAATAAAATTTATCAACTCTTCCGCAGATTTTAATTTAATATTTGTCTTAATTTTTGGAGTTAACAAGAAAAAGGAACTTGATTTTCCTTATTTACCTTCTTAAATTTTTAATAAAATTAATCTAAAAGCTAAAAATATATAAAATACCAAAACTCCTTAACCCTTTTCTTAACCCTTGTCCCATCATAACCGACTAATTTGAACTGATATACCCCTTTTTATTTGATTTTCTCAAATATATTTCACAAAGAATGAACTGCGAGGGGTGCTGAAGGTGTCAAATATTTGGCAAATATTCATATTTATATATATTCCGCTACAACCGTAGTATATATATATATATATATAGCATCCCCACCTGTATAAGGGAATCCAGTCAATGAAGATTAGGGCGACTTTTTTTTATAAGGTTTCATAATCCAAAAGGAAACGCTTGAAGTTGTAACTAGACCGCGTTATTTCGTGTTTTTCTTCTTTTCTGATACGGAGAGAGGGGTTGGGAAATGATGGTTGGGTGGGAAGTGTTTCTTAACGCCCTTTGGGGCACATGCCATTTGACATTCTTGTTTTCGCCTTCTTGTTTTCGACTCCTTCCCCTCTAACAAACGCGTCTTGTGATTTGCCTTTTTGTCACATTAAATCTTGTTTATGATGCTTAAGAACTTTATTTCCGCTCGATTAAATTGTCATAATGGCAAAGGCTGGGCATGTCCTCGTTGGCTGTTCAAGATTTTCTTTTTCTTTTTGTATTTTTGAATTGTTTCTGGCAGTTTCTCATTTACCTTTCCTTCAATTTAAGCCCTTTTTGTGCCTTTTGGCTGGTTGCGAAAAAAAGGAGTTGAAAAGTTGAGTTTTGTAATTAGATGATGACGGATTGTTGGGGATTTCGATTCATTTTTTTGGCTTGTTAGGAAAACTTTTGTTAGGACTAAGTATATATATATTGATTGCTTGATCTATTAACTATATCTTAGTTTAAGCTTATAAGCTTAACCATTAAGAGACTGGAATTCGATTTAGGAAACCTCAAAAAAGCTTTTAGTAAGTTTTAAAGAAGCGAAATTAAGTAAATACTTGTTAAAAAGACTTTCAAATTCATAAAATCCATAAAAAACAATATCAAAATCTTGAAAAATCCAAGAAATTAACTGCGGAAAACCCAAAAGAAAACCTCAACTGCTGGCTTGAGGTGAAAGGGAGAAAGAAGCGGACCTGTCATTGCTGATTTCCCCTCGCGCTTTGGTTTCATTTTTAGTTTCTGTTTCAGTTTCTGTTTCAGTTTCAGTTTCATTTTTAGTTTAAGTTTCAGTTTGAGTTTCTGTTTCAGTTAATAATATGATGTTCGAGGTCCTGTTTCCGGCTTTGCTGTTTCCTTGGAAGCATCAGAATGCTCCTGCTAGATGCTCCATTTGCTTGCAAATACGTGTGCATTCTGCAGGCTCTTTGCACTCGCTTGCATATATTATATACTATACCATATAGTAGTTATGTTCCTTGCGATCTTTTGGTTTTTGGATTGGCCAGAAAGCAGCCGAAAGTCTGTCTACCATTCGACATAATCATCCGGCCGGCAGTTAAGTGTGTATGTCTGTCTGTGTGTGTGTAAGTGTGTCAGTGTGTGTATATGTATGTGTGTCACTGTGTGTGTGTGTGTGTATGTATTGGCATGTTTTAATTAAACGAAATTGCTTGTATCCCATTGATGGCTTAATACGGGTCACATGTACGCCTATCGCTGTACATGCCAGTGTATGCGAGTGGACAGAGTGCATTTGTGTGTGCGAGTGTGTGTGTGTGTGTGTGTGTGATGAGCTGCTTCATCTGTGATATATACTCCTATACATTCATACATACAGATATTCACTTAAGCGAACAGCAAGAAGGACACACGGCGGCACAGCACAGCCAGCGCCCAAGAGCTGCCAATTAATTTGGTGACAATGCCAAACAGCAGCAGCGGCAAATTAACGAATTGGAAAAATATAACAAACTGAATGGGAAATATAGCTATATAACTTGACTAAACTAAACAGACAACAAACAGACAAACATGAGAGATGCACTGGCAGACACTCAACTAAATTAGTCAATCATAATGGAGGCCTCGGCGAGGCACATACGAGAACATTTCAATGTGAATTAAGCACAGAATTTGTTATACACTAAGAGAAAAAAGAAGGCCAAAGGTTTAACAATTAAAGCTTAGAAAATATATCAAAAAATATGTATAAAAATATCAAGAATAGTTATGAAAAGAAATGTAGAAAAACATGAAAAGTAAAACTTAACTTTGGCTAACTTGAAATTCCTTTAAAATTATAATTAAAGCTTTTGCTATTTCAGTTTCTAATAATCTTTTTAATTACTTAAGGAGGCGATCCTTGATTTTTCTGTGCATAAATTAAACAAAAATAGTTTTAAAAATGAAAATCCCCTGCCTTTAGTTGGGCAAATAAACTTGACAACTGCAGAAATATTTCCATAAATGTGTGAAAGGTGAAAACTTTTATGAGCATTTGCAAGTAAATTATTTAATAAAAATATATAAAAAAAACAAAACATAAGCCAGAAACACAAAATAATTTCCATGTTTTTTTAAAGGCAAATCGATTGGTTTTTCTTTTCAGGTTAATAGTTCACTCTCTTTTATGCTCTATAAAAGCCGAAAGCTTTTATAAACAAGAAACACATTCAAAACAAATAAACACCAATAACCATGGCCTTTGCTTTCTTTTGTTTTCCAGGAAACTGGAACTGGTGAACATTTTCCCCAATAAAGCAGCAGCAGCAGGTGAGTTTTGAATTTTTTGCTTAAAAAGAAAAGCATTTTCTAAAATAAAATAAAATCCAAAAAAAAAACCTACAAAATCAACAAAACGCCTCTCTTTCGTCCATTCTTCATAATTTATGCATATGCATCCCGCACCCTTCCACCCTCCTGCAACCTGATGAAAATTCACCCAAAGAGCCTGCGATGATAAGATAAACTTCTACACTCTTCGCCGCCTTTTGTGGTGTGCGTGTGTATTGTACTTGGGGCTGGCATTGTTGTAATGCCATAACAATCAAGTGAAATTACGCTAAATGACACGCTCATTACGGGCCTTCGTTTTGGGGTGGTGGTTACTTGGTTTTGGGTTGCTTACTCTGTTGCTTTCTTCTCGGCCAGCAAACCAAAAATCATTGCCTACTTATGAGCGCTGAATGGATGAGGGTTGCCTGCCTTTGGTGTTACGTTAGGCAGTGCCCATTTATTATTTAAATAAAAACATACAAGCAAGCGCTTGAAAAACGCTTTATAACACTTTCTCGCAAACACACAGACACACACACACACACAAGCTCAGCATTATTTGCATATAAAAATGTTCATTATGTTGTCAAATGAACAATAAATGTCAATGCCGCCTCTCAGCGCTTCGTTTTCGTTTTTTCTTTATTTTCCCATTGTTTGTCAGCAGCAACGAACAGCAACAAGAACAAGAAAAAAAGGAGGAAAATTGGAGGAGAATCTGTGACAACGCTTTAAACGGTTTTATTGGCTTTTCAAATTGGCCAAAGGCCAAGAATATTGTACATAAACCGGCAGCAAAATTTATATTACGCAAAAGGCGGGCAAACTTTGCTTTGACCAGAAGCTTTTGAAGTTTTTCTCACCAAAGTCCCTCCTAGCTCCCTGCTTCTACCTCTACCTCTAACTCCCTCCCCCCCCCTACTTTTACCTCGACTTTCTCTTCGACTTGCTCCTCCATTTTCAACCACCACACCACACCCCCTCAATGGATCCTGTTGCTGGCAGAAAGAAAGTGAAAGTAAAGTGTAATTAGGTTTGTTTTGCGTGGCTGTCTGCAAATGAAATGGCTGATGGACAGGGCTAAGGATGAGGCGGCTGGTTAGCTGATTATTATTATTATCATTATTATGATTAATATTATTAATATTATTAATATTATTATGTTCATTATTAAGATAACCCCATGGCAAATACCTTAAATAGTGACGAGTAGAGTGTTAAGTTTCCTTAGAGGAATCCTAAAGGCTTTCTTTTCCTTAATTAAATTAAATCTTAATGGCAACACAGTTTTCTCGAAATCAACAACGACTGATTTCCATGAAAACTATTGAAGAATAAACTTGAATGAGTGTCCTTGGGTAAATGTGATTTATAAGTTTGCCAGACAGCAAAGAACAGCGAAGAGGAAAAACTAAGTTTAAGAACGAACTAAGCTGAAAGATAGTCAAAGAAACTACAAAGAAAAACTGGAAATAAAGCAAAGAGGCATTCAAAGGAAAGGGAAAACTCAAAGACTAAACACAAATGCTTATCAATTAGGTTTCACATTATATGGGAAAAGTTCTAACAAGCTAAAAAAAATGATTCATAAAAAGTTGCTTTTAGCCAAGAAAATGCTATTGAAAGGGGTATTAACCTTAAGACATTATCAAATATTCATAAGAATAAGAGCAGCAACAAGCGCATATATATTTTCCTAATAATTTTTAAGGCCTTTATTCAATCAAAGACATTCGCTTGAACCTGCAAACCTCAAGTGACACCCTATGGCTGCGCTGCTATCGTTCAGATATAGATAAAGACATTAGCAAATATTGAAATCCATCGATGGCTCAACAATGTCTATTTGCTGATGGCCAAGTGTCGACTGTCGACTGTTATCGCCCATAAATATAAAGATATATATATATAGATATAGATATATATATATAGGAATAAGCGAGGCAAAGTGCTGAGCACTCATTGCGCCACCAATTCCATCAAAGGGTATTAAAAATCCAAGACCAAAAACAAAGGAACAATGCCGCCCACTTTCCTTAAGTCTAGGGATCTGCCAAATACATATATATATATATATATATATATATTTATGTAAAGAAGAAAGCCTTTCATTGCCATTCAGCCGAGTCAGTCAGTCAGTTAATATTGAGTGAGCATATAATCTGTTAATAAGCATTTTATATGCCAAAATAATTTGATTTGCATGTTGGGACCCGCCAATGTGAATGTCGATTTCTGTCACAAGGGGTTGGATGGAAAATGGTGAAGGGAAATGCTTGCAGAGGGTGTACTCAGGGGGCTTGGGGAAAATGGTGTGTCATGGTTGAGTTCATGTAATTAACACGGCGACCGAGTTTACGGCGGGATCACAATTTTCTTATGTGGCTAACGACGACGACAACGACAACGATGACGATGACGACAAGGCACTTGACGCTGCCTTATTACCGTATAACACTCATTTTCATGGACTACGATTTCGACTACAATTATCGCCTTTTATAGAGTGTTCGAGTGTTGAGTTCATTGGCTTCATCAGCAATTTAGGAGATACTAATAGTAAGTATAAGGAATGTTTCCATCCTTTTTGCTTGCTAAAAATGCAAATTAAACAAGCGGTTTTCCTTAGGAAAAGAAGAACATAATCGCTGACTATCTCTAAACAATATCTTAATTAATCAACCCAAAACTTCGATTGATTTATTCCAAGAGAGAAACTTAGAAACTTCCCCTTAAAATGTTGCCAGGCAATGTTTGGCCAGAAGCCAGCCAAGTTTAAGGCCAATATTATTGCTTTATTAACCAGCAAGTGGATGGTTTGATGAAATGGACACGAGCTGCTCTCAGGAAAACAGAAAGAAAATGAAGAAAATAACCTGGACATACTCATGTGTGTGTGTGTGTGTGGGCTCAGCAATTTCCGATGAAAGCCGTTTTATTTGAAAGTTAAGCCGACCCCAGAAACCCCAACAGGATTGTCATCTGCATGCCAAAAACTGACCCAACTGAACGTATGACTGACTGACTGAGTGAATGACTGACTGACTGAGTGAATGACTGACTGACTGACTGAATGACTGAATGACTGAATGACTAACTCACCAACTGAGTGAGTACTTAAAGCAATGGCAAACATTAGCATAAAGCTGGGCTATCATTTCTAAGTGCGTTCCTTGTTGTTGCCATGTCTAGTGTTTCTCCCAGCTTTTCCTTTCTCAATTTTCCATTTTCTTGCCATGTCGGCTGTTGCTGTTGCTGTTTCTGTTGTTGTTGTTGCTGTTGCTGCTTAGCTGTTGGCTGTGGGGAATAAGGTAAATATCAGCTGCTGGTACACGAGGACAGCCAGCAGCGAGAAGCCACGAAAGCGTCCTCGTCCTCGTCCTCGGCGGCGTCCTCGCTAAATCACAGGTGTGCAACAATGGCCACAGAAGCGCCAACAACAACACTAGCCACAGCACCAACAACAACATGGAAAGGACCCCCCCTAGAAAAAGCAGGATATTTATACTTGAAGGGGAACTAAGGAATACCCTTTCGTTATTAAACTACAAGCAAAGGGAAAGGAAATCTGTTAGAAAGGGTTAATCTGTCTAAAAAGGGAAGATTTATTAAATATGAAAAAATGTGAAAAATGTTGGGAAAATGTATTGAAAAACTTAACATGGTTAGAAGACTTTCTTTGAAAGTAAAATTAGTTTTTTTTTTTAGATTCTTAGGCCTTGGTACAGGGTGGCCCATATAGCATTTGCTTTTTGAATGTGTCAGATATTTAGTAGAAGGTTTGCGGTTTACGAAATGGTTAAGTTTACGCTCGAAGAAAATTGTGAAATTTTGATATTTTTATAGCGATTTTAAAAAGCAAATCTTTCGTGGGCCAGCCTTTACTTTTATGGTTTTTGGAATTAGAATAATTTCTTTCCTTTAGTTTGCAGTTTAAACTTAAATATTCAAGACTAAGCTATAATATAATAATAATTAAGAAGAAATAAAGAAGAAAGAAAGTTCCTCAAGAAACTAGGATTTAAACCTAAACAAACTTTAAAACGTTCTCAAAAAAATTCCAAAAAAAAAAACGATAATCCCACTCCCTGAAAGGGTATCAAACAGCAACAGCAACTGCAACAACAACACCAACAGCACGAGCATAAGGAGCATAACGTGTGAAACATAAGCAGGCAACTACTTCACCGCCGCCCAGTCCCCCCCCTATCTCCTATCTCCTTTACCCCAGCTCAGTCTCTTCCCTTCGCGCAGGCGCCAAGAGAGCGGGCAAAGCTTTTGATTTTCCAAAAATATTTTTTTCCTGTCGTTTGTTTTTTTTTTGGCTAGTTTTCTTGGGTGATTTTTCGTTTTTTTTTTTGTTTTTGTTAAGCATTTTATTTTAGTATGCAGTCGACTTCCTTTTTGCCATTCTCAGCCTTGAAAGCTCAGGATGTGTGGCAGCTTTGCGAGAGCGAGCGCCCCTCTCCTCGAGGCGACTCTCAGCTGACTGGTTAACCGTTATACGGCTGGCTTTTCACGATTTTGAAAACGCTCGGCTCGTTCAGTTGTTGCTTCACTTCAGTTCTGTTCAGTTCGATTGGGTTATCAAGCGGTTGGTCATTCACAGATTTTCCAGGAAAAGTGTTTTTCAGAAACAGAAAATTGTTAAGGCAATCGCTTTGGGTTTTGTAATGAGTTTAAGGATATATACGTATACGTGTGTGTGTGTTGGGGAAGGATTTTGATAAAATATTAAGAAAAAAAAAATTGTAAATTTTCAAAAAAGTTTTAAACATTTTAAGATTTTCCTAAACAAAATTCCCAAAAGTTTAAATTTTCTTAAAAATAAAAATAAAATTTCAACTTCTCTTTCTTAAAATTCCAAAAAAAGTTTAACATATTTGGCCTATTCAAATTTCAAATAACGTTTTCAATGTTGCGCCTAAGAAAACTGGCCGAAAGATCAAAACTGTGCTACCTACATATGTGGGTATAACAGTATAACACTTGAGAAG